AACCGAAGAAGCATTGGGAAGTTGATTTCTCGCAGTGGACTAAGGAGCGTGCAACAAGACTGAGTAAGGCGGCTCGTGGGGATCGAACCTGTGCGGGTCTGGGTAGTGCGGGTTTCACTTCTTAGGGAAGAAGCAAGAACGGCTCTCCCAAGAAGCTAACGCGTATGATACCATCAGGATGTGCTATAGACGAGGTTTGGAAAAGTTGGTATATAACGGGGAGGTAGGGAGGTCACTGGGTGCGCGGAAGATGGTTACTTTAGATTAGTAAGGACACAGCGAGCCGATGGGCTAAGATAGATGCTCAGCTCGTGGAGTTGCAGTCGAGGTAGCTTTGGGAGAAATTTGAAATTTTTTTATTAAATTTAATAAATTTTATTGAAAAAATTTCGAGAAAAAATTGGGAAATTATTATTGGTTTCTGCCAGAATTCGTATAATTAGCTTTGGGAACTCCTGAGCTCAGCTGAGGAGAGCGAACATATATTCCTCCGACACTGTTTTAGGGAGTTTGTACGAAATTTCCCTGTTAGGCCTCGACAGTTGATGGTACACGATGCTCGGCAAAGGATGTTCCAACACTATATAAGGGAGCACTTCCCGAAGAAGCCTCTTGAGAAGGAGTCTGAGGAGGACTAACCGCATGATTTTATGAAGGGGTTTCTGCTATGAGTTTATACTCCGCGTTGTAAGTCAGTATCGCAATGCGGTGAGTGATGGGAATTAAAGAGTATGAAAGAACACCTGTTAGTGAATCTATTCGCGTCGTGTTGAGCCCAGCTCCCAGCGGTCAATGGGGTTGGCCGGTTGGACTATTTCTGACTAAGGTTGATGGACGTTCTGATTGTGAGTTGTATAATCTGCGATATCACACTTCGTGTATAACTCTGTTTCCATGTCGGATAACACAACGAGGGAGATGGCGAAGATGAAGAGCTCATTTTGTTAGTAGTTTGCAACTCCCCAGCTCACCTAGCCGTAGACTAAGTATCACCAACCATCAGACTTCGGGGATGATAAAGGAAAATATGATCTTAACTCTGCGACGGTATGCCTTTGTGCAGTATTGTCCCAGGAACTCTGTCACTCTACGTCTTAATCGTCCTCAGTCCTACACATCTGGGCTCAGGGAGAGCCGGCCGTTTTAGGCGTAGTCGTTTCAAGAACAAAATACTATAGCGAGCGCCATTGGTGATAACGGCATACATCTACCAGTGCCACATAGCTCGCTTAGTGTGTCTCATGTTTTGGAGGTGGCAACTGGGACGAAGACCGAGAAGGCGCTGAATAAGTCAGTCGAAGCCTTGGAGGAGGAAGACGTGATAATTGAATTGTCGATGTATTGCTCGTTATTAAGGACCATTTCCATAGACATGTCGTGCATGGTTACCAATAACGATCCCTGTTACTAACGTGTACACGGCGTTGCATCTTCACTGTACCTGCGACTTTACGACTGGTCTAAGTATCCCTACAGTTATCCCTTCAGTGTTTGATTACGAGTACCGTTGGCTACCGGTGTCCCGTCTTCGGAAAGGATATCAGTAAATCAGGAGCTATGATTAAATCAATACTTTCAATGACGGAGCTACTACTCGAAACGCCTCTTCTTCCTGTCATGAAAGGAACCTCTTGCGAATAATAGGCCGAGCCGATCTATCACATCTTGTTGCGTTGTTTGAAGCAGTGGTACGGCTGTTGATGAAAAATTGAACTTGAGGATCATCGGAGCCAAGGTCCATCGACCTGTCGTAGTGACTAAGTAGACTATCCACTAGATGCTCCATGCAGGTGCTCAGATATCTCTCGAGTTCCTTTGTGTAATTGAGTGATAGCTTAGAGGTTAAGGTGTTCGACTTTGTTGACGAAGGTTCTGGGTTCGATTACGGCAGGTCGTCATTTTCATAACCCCTAACAACCCGAGCACATTGAATTCCTTGATCTTCTTTCCCTCACCTGCAATTTTATAACTTCCTTAAAGTGCCTCTCCTTACCTTCATGATTACCTAGCTCTTCACCTCACTTGAGGCAAATCATGAAGGTAGAAAACGTGCTGTCAATCTCGCTCGCCAAGATGATCGATTTTTCGATAGCGCTTAGATGAAGGTGTTCTGTACTATATCTGCCCACTGCAGACAGCTTAAACCGCTTTGCCTCTCTAGTCATGGCTGCTGTTCCTACTCACGATATCCCCGGCACTGAGCGTGATGAGCTCTTGTGCACCTACGCCGCCCTCCTCCTCCACGACTCGGATCTTGAGATCACTTCTGAGAATATCAACAGTCTCATCCACGCTAGTGGCGCTAGGGTAGGGAGGAAGTGGAGTTGCTTCTGCAAGTTGTGATTTTTCCTTTTCAGCACGTTGAGTCCTACTGGCCTGTTCTCTTCGCCCGCATGTTGAAGGGCAAGGACGTCTCTGAGATGCTCTCTGCTGCTGGCTCTGTTGGTGCCGTCGCTGCCGCCCCCGCTGGTGGTGCCGCCGCTGCTGGTGGCGAGGCTGCTCCTGCTGAGGAGGCTAAGGTTGAGGAGGAGGAAGAGGAGGAGGATGAGGATATGGGTTTCGACCTCTTTGATTAAGGGAAGCTTACCTTACTAGAGACCAATAGCTGCTGTCCGAGCCAGTAGTTGGCCTTGAAGGGTTTGTAGATTGTTTTGAGTTTGTGAAGTGGGCGAGGAGTGGTATGATATAGTGCTTACTCTAAATACCTATAGACGGTAGTTAATCGTGATGAAGCCACTTCGGAGAGAAAGTAAGAGAATTTTGGCGATTGTTGGGGAAGAAGGGTTCTGATTTTAACCTGTTTGCAGACGTTCAAGCTGTCGGTGCGGATGATGAGATAATTGATAACGGTTCAGTAGCATCATTATCGTCGGGGTAAAGGACTTTGAGATTGGTTTCATTGGAGGGTGTATTAGCCCTATATATGAAATTCCTGTTGCTGAGTCTACCCATGGCCGGTCCAAGCACGTAGTGCTCCTGCCAACAAGAACGCCTATAATAGGACCTAGTTCGCCGCTGAGTAAGACAGATAGTGATGATTTGGTGTTTGGCAGCATGTTTTGTGATAATATACTTTTCTATGAAATATTTAATTTATTGTTCGCCCCTGGGATAGAAACGGTGATGCCACCTGAGGAGTGACACGAGTACGGAAGTATAGAGCTTCTTTTCGAGTGGACTCTATATTAGTGCTCTTGGGGTATGTGTGTCGCACGAAGGGAAGAGAACAGACTCTGGAGGGGGAGAGGAAGTAGTTAGCATGTGTATAAAGGAGTGGCAGCATGAAGCGTCTACTCGAACGACGACTTCCTACGTGACGGGTGTTTGGGATCTCCTCGAAGTGGGAGTATCGATAGATCATCATCGTTGAGGGCGTTGTTGCTGTCTTCAATGCAGGAGTGGGGAAGGGGACTGGGGTAGTCATCACTGAGGCGTCTGACTGCGGTGCGGGAGGGGTTGGTCATCGACAACTGGGAAGGTCAGCTCATCTCCACGTTGAGGGAGAGTGTGGGCAAACTCCTCTATGGGTTGTTGCTGTGATACCATCCTTCGTCGAGATCTCGGTCGTCAATCGCTGGTTAAGTTATTGAAGCTAGTAGTAGCATTTCCAGCTATCTCTTTATCGTAGACGTTTACCATCGCTAACGGTGTCGTGTTGGGAGCTCGGGAAGCATTTGCTTTCGGGCAGAGGTACTTCATGATCGTCCCGTCAAGACTGTTAGCCTCGGAAGCTAGTACGCTGAGGGCGAGTGATGTTAGAAGAGTGCTGACAACTCTGGCGAAGAAGAGAAGGAGTGGTATGGACATGTGGAGGGCCGCTTTAGCACAGTAGTACTGGAAAGGAAGATGAAGAGGAGGTATGGGAGCTTTCGTTAGGGCAGTAGACGTAATGGAGCCCAGGATGAACCCATCACACTTGGATACGTCTTATATTCTGCACGCATGCACAAGGGCTCCTAGGAGCCTCGATGAAGGTATATCGTACGGACGCATGAACCGCATTGTTGTTAGTTTTACGCTTTTTTCATCAGAATCGACAGCAGTTGTAAAAGCGTGTCTACGTCGTGCCATTGCCCGAGTGGATACTTTCTCTTGCCGAAGCCTGGCCGCTATCGCGACCTCATGTGTCCGCCTGGCAGCTGAAGATGGGTGCATAAAGTTGATAGGAGGAGAGGAGGGCATGCCGAGTATTGCAGAAGTTTTCGATTGCTTCGCCGGAGCCTTGGGGAAGAGGCATAAACCTACGCAATCGAAGTGAACCTATTTTGTATCTTACCATGTTCGACCTTGGATACTCTTAGATATCGCGTGAAAGATGTCGCCCTCCTCTGCCATGCCTTCTCCAAATTTCCAACAGCCCTCACGATACACGTTATGTTCCAGCAGATCCTACGTGAAGGCATCTTAGTCACCACTGAGGTGGATGGCGATGACGAGAGTACCATCCATGTGAAAGATTTGGTACTACTCTTCATACCGTAACTCTACCAAATCGTCCCTCGCCAGGCTCAGATCCTCTCGGCTTGCGCTCGAGTCTCAGTGAGAGATGCGGAGGTTGTAGCGGCTTGTGCGCGGTTCATACCATCCCAATGCAAATTCATGGACGCTCAGGGCTTGGCCATAATCTGGCAGGCTCTAGCGAAGTTGATGTCGGTGTTGAGGAGTCCACGTGTGGGATGTACCAGTGAAATTAGGTACTCTGAAACAGTGACTAGAGTTGATGACGAGGGGAAGCCGATCGACTGGGAGGAGGGAAGGGAGAGGTCTGTTTATGCGGCATTACAGAGTCGGCTCGGCATGGTAGAAGTGACGGAGGTGTGGTATGAGTAGTGGCAACATTTGTAGCTGCTCAGGTGGTGCATCAGATGAGCTGGCAGGAGCTGGCCCTGGTTGCTGGGGCGGCCTCGAGGACGAGAGCACACAGCTTGTGTGAAGACAACAACAGGGCATGGATGGAAGTAGATCCAGGATGTCGTTACCAGGGTTCGAACCAGGGGTCTTCGGGATGTCAGGTCTGTAAGGTTCTATTACACCATGCTTCCATCCGACTCGCTCCTCTGTCCGAACCTGACGTCCGCAGCCTGTCGGAGCTGGTTCACGGCTTAGGGCTGCTCATGAGCGTCTCGGCAACAGGGATGGGCACCACCCTTCGACCAGCCCAGACCGCCACCCCTGAGATCTCATGTGAAGTTGCCGACTGTCGTTAACGTCACACTTGACGACCTTCACCCTCAGGCCTCGCTGACCTCTATTCGAAGTTGATATCCTCCTCGACGGCTGAGTTGCCTTCGTCCAGGCATTTGGCTCGGGCAGCGGCTGGATTCGCGTCCCTCGCTTTGGATCCGTCTCATATCTTCTGGCACCGTTTGGACCAAGCCTTCCCCGACGAAAAAACGGAAACAAAAAACGCTTCGCTCCGCCTGACTGATCCGACTGACATTGCTAATGCGACTCTTGCATTATCAATTGGAACCCATCAGCTGCCGAGAAGCTTCAGCTCGGCCTGGTTCGGCGAGGAGGGCAGTTGGCCGTTCTCGGCGCTGGCAGCAGTAGTGCACGCATGCGCACTGTGTGGGTATGGGGGAAACGAAATAGTTGCGGAGTTGGGGAGGAGGCTGGCCGCTCAGTGTTGGGAGTTGTATTCATTCGGTGGGGCTTTTGGTGAGAATAATTTGATAAAAACTGCGGCAGAACTTTGGTGGTTGCAAGGACGAGTTCCTGGGAGGCTCGGGAAGTATCTTAGAGAATCTTTGAGGTCGATGACACAAGATGCGAACAAGGTCGCCAACCTCCTATTGCGTCAACCAGAGATCAGAGATCAACCGCCAACCTCCGAAAAAGGGAGGATAGTCGAGTCATGGTCTTGCCAGTTTATCGACGGCTCACAACAGTCCAGAACTGTCACTAAATTACTCATTCGGTCGGCCTCTGAAACAGCCCTGCCTACATATGACATCACCCTTCTGAGAGATCTCATGGGTGTCACCCCTGATCACAACGTATCCTCGGCTGTGAGGAAGTTAGCAGCTCTCTTGGGCGTTGCCTGGGAGGCTTACCCAGTTCCGATCCTCTACTATACGCGGCCCGGGACCACTGAACAGCAAGTAGTCAACTTCATCATAGTGCGACGAAACGCTTGGATACCATCCGATTTGGTCGTTACGAGTTGGCATAATAAAGCCACGACTGTAGCTCTGTACGCTGAAGACTCTTACAAATTCCAGTCATTCTTCGATAAGGGTCTCCTCACTGCATGATGATGTTTCTGAACTCACCACCCAGTAGTGTTGCGAGTGGTATTAATCATCATCATAAGTCGGACTAATGTTGGACCCCAACGTTTGGAGAAGTGTGGTACGTCCAGAGTGATTATATCTAATTTCGCCCGATTCTCCATCTTTTTTGTGGAATTCCGACTAACTCCATTTGAATCAGATGATCTGATTGCAAGTGTCGTCAAGCTTTATCACAACATATAAGTGCATTAAGGACGTCTGCTTGTCGATGTCATCACCCTCTAGCAGCAGTCCTTCTGAGGCGGTCGGCACGCCCCCTCCTGGTTGCATCAGCGTCCTCCTCTTCGGGCCTGCGCGAGACGTTCTAACTCCCCGAAGTAAGCCAATCTCTCTCATCTACGATCCCATCGTTCTCCTCAGCTAAGGTGGTATTCACTAAAGTTGGCCGCAATAGGACAGTCGGCGGAGTTCGGACCAGCTTGGCTTCTGACTACCCCCAGTTAGCTCGAGTAAACTCTTACCATCTCAAAAGCCCCCACGTAGTCTACTCTTCAGTTACTACCACGATCGATCTTCGCGTTGAACGAGGAGTACGTGGCGCTCGACCGAGAGGCTACAACACAGATTAAACCTAATGATGAGCTTGCACTCATTCCTCCTATCAGTGGTGGATAATTTCGTGGCGAGTGACGTTTTTATTCTCGCATTTCTATCTCTACGCTGCGGCTCAGAGTTCACTCTCTGTGGGGATACTCTGTATACGACTCATCCGAATAGTCGACACCCATCGCAATCCTCTCGTGAATCTAGATCTATTGAGGTCACAACTGCAACACGTTCAGATAAAACAAAGCCGTTTCGTAACCATTTCGGATGGACACGTCGAGCACTACAAATTGGAGTCTTCGATCGTCATTCCAGAGGCAGCCCTTCGACAACCTCTCTCTTCGGAGATCAACGGATAGATCACTAGAGAGGAGCCTCCTCGGCAAAGGCCGCAGCCTTTTTAGTTGTTTATTATAGACCAAGCTATCAAGCTTATCACGATATCCACATACAAGCTGGCTGTATCCCTCTCCGTCGTCCGTGCCATTCAACCATGCTTTGTGTACCGTCCAAAACTATCAAGTTCTTGCACGTTTCGGCCAGTAACGGAATAGTGAGTAAATTCCAATTAACAACCCAACACCCGAGTCGAGAATCAACCCTCCACTCAAAAACATCAGAACCCTTACTGCCAATCGAGAAGGCAAAATCAGCTCCAACCCAGATTCCAACACGGTAGCGTCAATCTGCCCATTGAAGAGGTCGAGGCTCCTGGTACTTTCCCGGGTTGTTGTACAAATAGGCGTTGGCGAGCATCTTCTAATATCGCCTTCGACCCCCGCCCCGTGCCATAGAGGGAGCTGTCGAGCTTCTCCCAATGCCGATAAGAGTTGATGATAACTCAGCACCGAATTGATGGAGACCTCCGGAACGACCTCCCAGACCTGCTCTTACTGCGGCATGCCTTGTTACTTGTAGACCACTGAATGGCCTCAAGAGGGTCAGAAAGGATGCAAAATAGCCTCCGGAGGTCTCGGTAGTACTCATGCCGGACTCCTATTGCTAATCTTGAACGGTCGTGTTGGAGCGCTTATTCGTAACTGCTGATAATATACCACAACACGGTATGAGCGTTTATGACGAACTCAACAAGACAGACAATAGAGAGACTCTGCTCCTCGTAATAATAATAATGATGATGATCGAATTCAACATGTCGTTAGTAGTAGCCTTACAACCCCACCCTGGCACACCGGGCGGGCCTCGAGGCATCCGGTTGCAGCCGAGAGCTTCTACGAATGGTATCTATCAGAGCGTCCCAAAAAATGAGATGGAGGGACTCCCCTTAACCCACTCGAGTCGACCACAGTGGGGTCGTCGTTGAGATCATCATTGACCTCCTTGAGGTGCGCTAGATCAGGGTAGTCACCAAAGTCTTCAACTATCTACAGAGTAGTGCCAAACGCATAAGGGGGGTGAACGTACATCAGTGAAAGCACTAGATAAGCTACTACGTCTCGATGCGAGACTACTCCTACCTCCTCGTCGTCTAAGCATACCATCGCCGCATGCATCTGAATACCCGAGCGTTGTTCGAGTCGTTCCAACCCCTCCCCATCGTACTTCTTATTTTCGTGGACTTCCTGATAATTCGCCTCCAATGCCGATCGTCTTGGCTCGGAGGCGAGTACCGTAAATCGTACAACGGATGGTTCTCATGAGCAAAATAAGGCGGACAGGCGTCGTAGTCGCTGGTCCACCACTCAGATAACTGACCAGCAGTCGATACCAATAACGTCCATACCACACCATCCACACTTCTTGGGGAGATTCCATCTGCCCAAGCAGTCTCGGCGGTGTACTAAACTCCGCCTCCTCATCAACAATACTGTCTCTTCTTCTACTCAATCGAGAACTCTTCCGACATCTTGCTGGCTTCAAAGGTACGTCCTTTTTCCCTACAGGAAGTCCATATACAACCCAGCAGAGGGTATGCTTCTATCACCCTCCCTTACGTGGTGGTCTGGTAGTTTGAGAACCCCTCGATACCCCAACGGTGCTCTTCCTAGCTGTGGAATGCGAGTGAGCTGAATCATCAACCACAGCGTGGAGCCTCGATGATCGTCGAAGGGCCACTGGCCCGGCCATAGAACACGACAAGCCTGCCACCATCGACTTCTTTGATTCAACGTTGATTCACAGAGTAGCATATTAAACCCTCCTGCTTCTCGCGCTGCGGAATACCCGCACAATGCATCTTCGAATTCGTACCATAGGAAGCAGTGATACTGCGGCTTGGGTTTACTGCACGGAGGGGCCCCTCCATTGCAGACAGCCTCTTTTTTCGACAAACATGACATCGATCGCTCCGCTGGCACGCATAGGTTAAGCGCCCAACGCTTAGTACACGTGCCCCCGTTGCGGGATTATTATTATCGGTTCATGATGTTAATAGTAGCTCTATTATAGTTAGTATCACTATCATTTCCTGATGGTCAACTCCGTAGACAACGACACTCTTGAGTTTTTTTTGGAAAATACAATTATCATAAAGCATGATACACCGAGTCATGCGAGTACAACAAATCATCATGACATGTCTTATACTGCGAACTCGGTCAACTTAATTACGGCCACTCTTCCTCCTTGGCCGCCGCTTCATCCCTTTGATTCAGTCTTGAGTCGTCCAAGAATCCGAAGAGCTTCGGTCCAGATCCAACTTCGAGGCTCGCCATCTTCAAGTTGCTGCCAGTGCTTCAAGTCCAGTCTTCTCCAACTCCCCCGTCCTTCAGGTTCTTTTCTCGAGGCTTGACCAACAAGAACTGGATCCAGCATATGGTAGAGTGCCAGGGTAGGTACCGGTAGACATGTCACTGGTCAAGATTGGCCCAGGTGCTGAGGGACTCAAAAGCATGAGATCCCCACCTTCTATGCGCAGGTACAACATCCCGGAGGGTAGGCGCAAGAAGGGGCTGACCCATTGGAGAGGTCAGAGCAGCATGCATCGAGGCATCAGTCCTTTGGTCCTCTCTAACCCTAAAGGTCAGCAGAGGACGGAGCTAGGCTCTCTTTTCATTTCTTTTCTGGTGCTCGGGACTTGAGTTCATATAGCAACTTGCTGGTCTGCTATTAGCGAGTTCTTGCTATTAGCAAGAACTCGCACCGTGCTCAAGGCACAGACCACAAACCTCTGGCGTAGGCAAGATCCAGAGGCGGGTCTTAGCGACATTAGAGACCGCAAGGACCAAGTGACAGTACCGGATACCACACCACTAGACCAAGGGGCACGAAGCCCATCACCCGGCTTGAATGTTAGACATCCCGGAGGGTAAAGCCTGCAGTGACCCAGGGGTAGCTTGCCGCGCCCTGGCATGGTCCGGCCCATAGCCTTTACCAAGAACTTGTAGACAGCGGCCTCAAGAGCAAGACACATCCAGACTTCAGGAGCTGGAGAGACCTGACCATCCACACCAGCGAACAACTATCCAACAGCTCACCCTTCCGCTTGCTCCTTCCCTAACCCTTCTTCATCAAGTGGCCGACCTCGGACTTTACTCTCCAGGAATCGGCGTTGGACGCCAGAGTACTCATGGAAAGCACAAAAACAAAACTGTCCTGGGCCTTGGATGAACGCCAGCAGAGACGCTGACGCCATCAGTCCGCAGTGCGGACTCCGCACTGCTAAGGCTGAGTCTCCGCTTCTCGGAGATTCTTCAGCCACTCGAAGGTCAGCTTCGCCATCTTCAGTAGAGAAGGACGATACCGACGGTCGAGGATCATCTTGTAATTCGTCTTCGGCAGAACTCGCGAAAGCTTCGAGTCGCGTCGGGCACCGTCCATTCACATCTCCGTTATCCCAGCCGCAGGGGCAGGAAGGATCGGCTCTGATGCCCATCGTACACCGGTGGTGCGGTGAGGGGGCATGACCTGTAATTAAGGCAGCAAGCTCAGGAGAAGACCTACCAGCCTTCAAATAGCGCTTGGCGTGGCTGTAGCCCCATAGAAAGTCTTTAACTGACGTTCCTAGGGTACGCCTCTTGTCAATCCACCATTGGCGGGTCGACTCCGAAGCTGCTTCCTTAGCCATCTTTTTAACAAATGCCGTGGAGACTTGTGACGACGGATAACGGTCCAAGGGGAAGAAAGACTTCCGCCCGATGTTGGCCAGCACGTCGACTTCTTCATTCCATCTGGCTCCTTCATGGCCCGGACACCAATGGATGTCGGTTCGGACCAGTAGGGAGAGTCGAGCGATATCTTGAGCTATGCCAGAACGCTCGGTCGTCACTCGATTCTTGATCGTTAATATCGATGCCTGAGAATCGGTAAAGACACGCCATTGCTTACATTTGTGCTCTGAGAAGGCGATCCATCTCAAAGCACGACGAATCGCTTCCAGTTCACACTGGTGTATGGTTGCATATCGAGGCAGCCGAAATGACTGTCTCTCAACAGCAGAGCCATCAATAATCGCTATAAAAGCGCCGCCAGCGCCGTCGCCATGCTTCGAGCCGTCGGTGAAGATGGCCGGGGCCTCATATTCCACTGCCTCCTCCAGCGCCTCCTTCTTTGGACGAATAGTCGTAGGGAGGGGAGGGAGCCAAGGAGGAAAGGGATGGGGCGTCCTCTTCTCGACAAGCCAGCCTCCTTCAACTAGACCGATGCCAGGAGCCTTTGATATGAATACTGAAGATTGAAGTGGTACGTATACGTCCTTCGGGACATACTCTTTTCCAAGGCGCGCGCGTGCGTAAGAGGCGACCCAGTACGCCACGTCACCTCACGTCTCGTCTCGCCCTGCGCGATCGCTCTTCCTTAAGCCGGAGTCTTAGCTTTACTGCGCTATCGATCGGTCTGTCCGAAGTTCATAGCGTCGAGCTACTTTTTATCTGTTGCAGTTGTTACTCCGCACACTTGTCTCCACCCGAGTTCACAGTCCGTCAATCTATATCACTTCCTCAAAGCCTCGTTGTCTCCTATGGCAGCCGATCTTCTAGCTCCTAGGGTCTGCACCAAGATACTTGCCGGCACGATGCCTGCCATCATGGTGACTGCTGCTGTAGAGGCCGTCCTCGGTGCTATTATGGCGACTCTGGCTACAAAGCCAGAAAGATTAGCTACGATCTTACTAAGATTAGGTGAGTTTGAAAGGACAGGAGCCCAAATGGAGGCCGCATGGGCAAGGAAAGGTAGAACTGCTTGGTGCCATGTGCGGATAATCCGACGATGGTCCAAGCCAGCTCGTTCCCAACCAAGCGCTTGCAGCAGTCCAATCCGTTGCCGTGCCTCGGAACACTTCTTCCTAATGTGGACCGCAAAGGTCAGTCTCTGGTCGACGAATAGGCCGAGGATCTTCACGACTCTCTCCCTTAGGATGGCTCCTCCATCAATGAAGAGCGCTGGGACCTGTAGCTTGGAACGACATATATAAGCACACTTACTAGGCGAAAGAGTCAGGCCACAGGCCTTTCCCCAAAGCGTGATAAGGAACTCTATGCAGTTCCACTTCGTCAGGAAGTCCTTTTTTCCCTTCGTAGTCAAGACCAGCGTCTTATCATCAGCATAAAAGGTGCTGATGAGGCCTTCAATCGGTCGCAGGAGTGAAGTCAAGGATAGCGTCGAGATGGAGTACAACAAGGGTCCTAAGATGGACCCTTGTGGCACTCCCCGTTGAAGGACCACCGAGGCTTCGTCGGCGCCAAACTCTAGGTGTACCTGCTGTTCGGTAAGTGAAGGTCTCCCAAGAGAGCAAGTTCACGGATAGCCGAAAGACAGATGACGGAATTTCAAGAGAAAAGCAAGACGTCAAGTCGTTGCTAAAGCAGTGATCCAGTCTGATCACCTTCGGACCACACACCCAAGAACAGAGAAAGTTCCCCCAGAGTGCTTGAGAATTCCTGTTGGAAACCCTCAAGCACTCTTAGTTAGGCATCAGACGAGCTATCTTGGGTGTGACGGTGTTTATATTTTTTTTCCTCTTTCTTTCTTCCTTTCAGTCTTCTTGGTTCTTTCCTTTCATCCCTTTGCTTCTTTTCTTCAGGTTCATCGAATATCGTGTATGAAGTGGCAGGTTTAAGACTAATTTTTCCATCATTGTGCGGTTTCACTTAATATGTTGTGTTTTAAGCACTGACTGGGACTTGGTAGGGAACCAACGTGGCCCAGTCATGTGCCGCCCTGAAGTGGCAGGTCAAATATAGGCTGGGATCGCTATCCCTACAGCACCGACCTATGGCGTAGGGTCCGAACCATTGGGACGTCAACAAATTGTTGATAACAATATCACATGGTCGACACCATGATTGAGTCACTCCCTTAGTGGCTGGATGGTGGGGTAAAGAACGACAAGCGGAAGCTGTCGTGACTCTCGAGGTGGTCTCGAGTAGTAGCCCTGCCGGGATCATCCCGGCGGGATGTTAGTCTCATCATGAGACCTGGGTTCTGTGCGTCTCTGTCTCGGGGTTAGACCAAGCTGATACCCAGAGTTGATCGGGCTAGAGTGGCTCTACGAGTTTAGGACGGCCGCCTCGCGTGGCTGACCACTCGTCGACTTGCCTCCGTGTCCGCTCAATCTCTCGTTGTTCTAGAGACAGTGACTGCGACACTGTGTTCTCCACCGAGGCTCGGTGCCCGAGCTGAGGACCTTAGCTTAGCGTGCCAGGCTAGGCAGAAACTCCGCCACAGAATTCAGCTAGACGAGTATTGGGTCATGCTACAATTTACGTGAGCTGGTCGCAGATTGTTTTTATATTTCTACCACGTCCAGCACGCCCGACCTCTTCCGCGAAGTTTTCCCCGACTTGGCTGAGAAAGCGTCGACTGTTTGTGTCGACATGGGTATTAGTACTGTGGGTGTGCTCGAGGCGGCCCTGGAGGACAAGGAGCTGACCGACGAACTATTGAGAAGGTGTGCAGATGGGGGACTCGACGGAGAGTCCGAA